ACAGGAGGCAGTAACTTGTATCAGCTCAACTCCCCTCTGAGTCAGGATAAGAGCTAGATTCTATCAAAGTAGCATTGTTTTTCTCTGCTTGACTAATGGACAAAGCCACACTTGGTGTCATGAGTCAAGTACCCTTTAAAGATGTTGGCAGCATATGTAATTCAGAAGGGAAAAAGTTAGTCGTTCATTCCTCTCTTGAGTGATTTAGCTGCTCTCTAATGAGTGAGAAAGAGGGAAGAAGCATAGAAAAGAAGAGAAAGCAAGGGATTTCCAGTAGTTCCAGTCCTTTCTGTGTTTGTTTTGTATCAAACTTTCAGGTGATTTCTCTATAGGGAATAGTATCACATGCTTCACACTGCAGGAAGCAGGAATGAAGGTACAGCACATTTAACTGAGAACTGATGTTCTTATCAGTTTGCACAGTAATCCTGATTGCAGGTGCAAAGTACTGGGATGAAAATGGCTAATTACATAGTGTTTCCTTACAGTGAAGGATCTGAATGGCTTTTAGTATCTGGCAGCAAGCACTAGGGTTTGAAATGCCATCATCAATCACTTGCAAAACGATTTCTGTTTAGTTTTAATTAAGCAAAAATACACTGCAGTCTTTGAAGAATCTTTTCCTCATCATCATCATTTCTTAATGCAGAAAACCATGCCAAGAAACTGGTGCTCTAATGTGGCAGTAGTGCATTACTACACTCAGCCATGGTTTTGATGCTACTGCAGGGCCATGTAATTTAAGAAACGTACAATGGAGGCTAAAACAAAGGGGTTTGAATCTGCACCCAGTTAGACTCTTTCATAAGCAAGTGAGAGTAGCCTCTGGTCTCACTACCTGTGCATGTACCACTGATGTTCAGTTCTCTTGTTGCAGGGAAAGCAAGCACTTCAGTGGTTCTAAATCAGGTGCCAAAACGCTACTGCAGTGCAATTAAAAAATACCAGTGATTGCCTCAAAGCTGAGAGGCAAGCAAGGCGGACTAACAATTCAATTGAGCTGTGGTAGAATACAATCTAAAGGAGAAGGATGACACTGTGGTAGGATATCAGTAGGGATGGCTCACAAGTACTACAGGAGATGCAGTATGATTTGCTTATGGCCACTGAACTAGTCATTTTTAGTCATAGCATTTATATAAGATTCTTAGATTCATTATCATCCCATTTTCATATCTTCGTTTTAAGTGAAATGACTTACCACGTTTACAGATTTACATTAAATGCACTGAAGGTAAGTGGTGGTAAAACACATTACAGGGTTATAACTATAGTAGCAGGTCTGTTGTGTCAGCACTTAACCTTGTGACTGTGGCTGGCTGTGACTTGCTTTGTGAGTAGCTTGTGCTGTGCCCAGGAGCTTTTCACAGTATGCATCCTGCTTTTAGAATGGAAAAAGAAAAAATAACTATACTAAATAAATGGATTCATAAGTCATAAATAAGTTATAAAAGATACCAAGTAGGAGCTTTATGTGCTTGCACTGAAGTTACCAAATGACAATAATTAAAATAGTAAATGACTTTGCCTTGCATATTGCGTTTAACCTTGAACAAAGCTCCGTGTAATATCATGTCTCTGTCCTTGTTCAGGAACTCTCCAACATCTAGAGTAAATTAAATGCTTTGTAGCTTCTATGGCTGTCAGTTCAGATGAGAAACGAACCTCAAATTTATTCCACTTTCACTTTGGACCAACCATGAAAAGAGAAGAAAACTTTGAAGAGGCTTGCTCCTCTAAGAAATCTTACATGCTTTGCTGACAAGTGCATAAAGCATGGGACTGGATAGTTTCCTGAGCTGTCAAGTCTAGTGTCTTCTTAAAGCAATGGCATAGTGTTTCTTTTATATAAATACCAAATTTTTCCTTGACTGAATTAGCTTTCTTGGTTGCTGTTATTTCAGTTAACAGAATTGAGATAAACATTATGTTAGTTCTATTTTCACCCTTCTGGTGTTTGTCATGGTATTTCTGGAGACCAAACTGTAAGTCACCTCACCCTCCATGTTTCTGAGCTTCACAGTCATTTGAATTGCTCTGGTGAGGCTGCCTTTCTGTTGCCTTCGTAAGCCCTTTTTCACACAGGTTACAGACTGGTCAGCATTCAGCCTGCAGTAGTCAGTATTTCTGACTCAGTCTCATTGCTACTTTTTGTGCAGCTCATTAGCTGTTAAACCCCAACAGGATATCTGCTTTTATTGTGGGTGCGTTGTCTGACATTGAGGTGTTTCTTCTTCACTTTTTCTCAACCGTTAGAATCCCAATTTAAATCAGAAATTCTTTTTAGTCTATGTGGTTTCCTCTTAGTGTTTTCTAGCTCTGTCTGGTTTCTTTTATTTCAGTGCTGGGGTATCTTTAATAGTTTGATTTGAATGTTCACAGGCATCATTGTAAGCTGACAACATAATCTTAACAACTGCATTACTAGTCTGATCACTGCTTTTTTAATGAATCTCCCTTGAATTTAACATTTTAAGTAGTGTTCTGTTTGTGACTCATTCCCATCTGGAATACTGCGTCCAGGTCTGGAGCCCCCAGTACAAGAAAGACAGGGAGCTGTTGGAGAGGGTCCAGAGGAGGGCCACGAAGATGATCAGGGGACTGGAGCACCTCCCCTATGAGGACAGGCTGAGGGAGCTGGGCTTGTTCAGCCTGGAGAAAAGAAGGCTGTGGGGTGACCTCATTGCAGCCTTTCAGTACCTAAAGGGAGCCTACAAAGAGGAGGGGAATCAACTCTTTGAAAGGGTGAGTGACAGCAGGACAAGGGGAAATGGTTTTAAGCTGAGGGAAGGGAGATATAGGTTGGATGTCAGGGGAAATTCTTTACGGAGAGAGTGGTGAGGTACTGGAACAGGCTGCCCAGGGAGGTTGTGGATGCCCCGTCCCTGGAGGTGTTCAAAGCCAGATTGGATGGGGCCCTGGGCAGTCTGGTCTAGCATTAGGTGGAATGGTTGGTGGCCCTGCACGTGGCAGGGGGGTTGGAGATTCATGATCCTTGAGGTCCCTTCCAACCCTGGCAATTCTGTGATTCTGTGAACTAAAGTTTTAGCTTTCTTAATCCTCCCGTGTATATTTGTAAATTTTCCACACTTGGATATTTTACTAGAGAAGTAGCTTCTTCCCACAGGAACAAGTTGTCTTGCCTGCTTGGTTCTAGCAGCACTGGACATATATAACAGGTTGTCTAGCAGTCAAACAATTTGCCAAGGGATGTTTTAGGCCCTGAGCAACTTCAGACCTAAGGGATGGCCCTGTTTTGAGCAGTTTGCCCTAGGAGCCTCCCAATGGCCTTCTGGCTGGGAAGTCAGAACCTCTTGCTGAGGATTGGGTTCCCTCTTGAAAAGAGTTGAGCAGTGGAAAGTAAGTGAGGAGAACACTCTGGATGCACTGATGTTGCTTTTTGGGGTTGAGCTTTTCTTCCATGATGTCTGGACTTGCAGTATCCTGGGACATTGCAAATGGGTGACTGTGCCCAGCATGGGTTCAGGCAGACTCTGTTTCATTCTGACAAGGAAAAGTTCCCAGATTTTTCATGCCATTAAAATAAAGAAAAGCAAGGAAAAGATGGGTTAGGTCTGAGATGGTCACATCTGGTCTATGACAGAGACAGTAACCAGTAGGAGTGCATTAGAGGAAGTCTTGCTGTTGCCTTCACAAGGCTGAGGAGATCCAGAGCGCTCAACTGGCTCCTGGCCTGCACTGTCCTGTGTCACAGCCCCTTTCCATCCATACTTTGATCTCCAGTTTGCTCCTTCATGCCGATCCCCTGCTTTTTTGTAGAACATTTTATTCCAGGGTTTTCTTCTAGAATGAGTGAATTGGAGTGATCGTTCACTCTATGGGCTGCTCTCTTTATAGAAAGAAGCGCCAGGTTTTGTCTGTGTATCTTACCCCATTCACCATCCCAATAGGTTTTGCACTATCAAACGCTACAGCTACCCTTGTGCCAGGGTGTGATATTCCTGCTCCTTGTTTACCATTGTAAAACACTTTTCAGCAGGGTACTCCTGCTTCATTTCAGAAAGTAGAAACCTAAAAACACAGACCAGTTGCCCCACAAAATAACGAATGTGTCCTGAGATAGGAACTGAGAAGAGACCAGAGGCGAAATGTTAGATAATGTGTGATGGCTGTGTGCTTTGTATTTGTTTTACAATGAACTTGGCTAAGGATTCTGGACTGATTGATTTATGGTACATTTTATCCCATTCTACATTTTGTGGTAGGAGATATCTTCATTGTGCTTCTTGAAAGGGAAAAAGAATGTTAAGATGCCTGTTGCTTGGGTGTGCCAAGTGTTCTTGGTGTGGCCGAAAACAGTGTGTTCTTTGTCACAGTGAGTTTTGGAAATAAGAGGTGAAACTTTTGATCCTCTCCATCAGCGACATCTGAATTCAGCCTGGGCCTATAAGGCATGAAAATTACTTGGGGGTCTCTGCAGAACAGAGTAGGTTCTCAGTTTGGTTGGTTGTGTTCCCGTTGCCTGGAGAAACCTCTTATGAGATGATTTTGTGATGCCTTGCGGTGGCCTGGCACTGGCTGCAGCTGGAAGGGGCAGGCAAAAGTTAAGAAGAACTGAGAAGCTGTGCTGGGTGAGCAAGATTGTTGCTGTGGCACGAAGTAGCTTATTTATTAAGCTTCATGTACTGTAACTGCACTGAGTCTTTTACAAACTTAATAGAAAAGTTGCTTTAGTTAAATGCATGCTTTCATTAATATATGTCACTGTCATTAAGTGTAGAACCAGCAACACCTGGTTCTTTGTTCTCAGAACTGATGCACAGTCCAGCTTCTGTTTCCAGTGTTGGAGGAGCTACATTATAAAATGTCAACACTACATTTTAATGAATTTAGTGATTTTTTTTTTTTTTTCCCCCACTTGCTCCTATATTGTTTTTTTTGGAGTGGTTTTTTTTTTTTTTTTTTTTTCCTCCTGCAATACTGGTCTGTTTGTTTGGATCCATTCAGTCAGAAACTGATTGTCATTTTTTGTCTTTCAGGCTTTATTTAAAAAGAACTGGATGCCCAGGCTGAATTTCATCTCTGAAAGCTGGAGAAAGGTAATAACGGCTTTAGTGATTAATACTATAATGTGGTGATTATCTATGGACACTGAGTACAAAAGCTCAAAAATGGAAAAAGTTAAAGGTGATAGAGCAAAAGTAACTTCTTTCTTACAAATGAGAAAGTGCTGGCAGGGTCCTGCACCTGGTATCAGTGGTATGCTTGTGCTATTTTTTGTACTGTGGATACTTTATTGTATTCACCAGGGGTTTTCTGCTGTCTTTGGGTGCGTTGCCCACAGAAGCTCAGGAAGACTGTTAGCTAGTGACAGTGTAAACTGAACACATCTTTGAACAGTTGATGTGCTTCTAAAAGTTTGTGAGATTTAAATATAGCCTGTGCTGAAGGCCAATGTTTGTAACCTGCTTCTACTATAAGAGTGAATTGGTGGTTCTTTAGTTTTCCTCCCTTGAACACTGAGTTAGTACAGAGGGAGGAAAGCAGATCTGCTTTTGTGGTCATTGGATATTGCTGTAGCATAGCTCAATATCCTTTAGGTTGGGAATGGAATCTTCTTGGGCCATAACATTAGTCTAAGTTTGTCAAGTGTTTCCTTCTTCACCATGTGAGCTGTTTTATGTCCTGTGACGTGGGAGCGTGCAGAAGTTAATGCTGCATGACTAGGCTGTGTGGTAAGTGTGTGTCCTGATAGGGCTCCCGTTGGCAGTAGACTCTTGTGAGGCAATGCTCTTTTCCCCTCATTCTCAAACAGAGTTCAGTGCTGGGGCTCTCTTGCTTCCTGCAAGCCACAACAGCTTTTGGTGGGCTGTATGTTGACCAGCTGCACCTGACATCTGGGATTTCATAGAATAAGAGAAGTGATGGCACATGTGCTGATGATGCAGTGATACAAAGCAGGCAGCCAGGCAAATAGAGGCTGGAGGTTTCACTGGTGTGGGAATAAGAGGCAGTGAGAGATGAAATGTTGTACTTGTGGTCTTGTGGCTGGTCATGTGCAGAAGCTGGGAGGGAACCCTCAGTCTCCTCATCTCTGATATAGTGCCCCCAGTGTCATTTTAGAGTTGAGTACAATGAGTGTTGCCTTAGAGAACAGTCGTTACTTCTCAGAGCCAGTTTTCCCAATCGCAAACAAGCTCACTTGAAAGCTTGAGCAGAGCCAGTAAATGCGCGATCTCATGTAGCAGTTGCCTTTCTTGTATCAGATCTTTGTCTCAATGCAGACTGACATCAGTTATGGAGTCTGGAGGGGTTTATTACCAGGATTGTACCTAAATCTGGGAGTGAAGCAAGCTTTGGATACTCTGACCTGGATTGTTTCACTGGGGCAGAATGGAATGCAGTACACAACAAGATGCTTTGGGGTTTATGTGGGGACTTAATTTTTCATTACACCATGCTGAGTTAAGAGTAGACTGGGAGTCCAGCATGCGTTGGGTCCCAAGACATTAGGGATGAAATTGCCAGCTGCAAGTTAGCATTGCTAGACCCTGGAGCTAGCTTTACCGAGACTTAAAAGGAATTGCAGTAATACCAGTCATTCATGCCATCTTTATTTCTTCTATTAGTCGTTGTCTGCATGGGGAAAGATATGCCTGGGGCAATCCTGCATCTCCGTCCTGTTCAGTGCTGCTTCTTACAGCATTTTCATTCTTCTCCAAGACAACTATGCCTTGTCCCCTGTGGGTTCTGTTTTCACACTCTCAAAGAAATCTATGACAATAGCATAAAAAGCCCAGCATTTAGGGCTCCCCTTCAGGGACGGCATATCATCCTAATTAAGCGTTTCTCAAAAATGGCCCTGGCAGTGCAATTAATTCCATGTAGACAGATCCCACAACTCATTTGAAGCATTGTGTTAGATTAGATTCAAAGAAAAAATATGGAAAAAAGAAAAGAGAATGTCACCCGCTTCTGTTTGCCTGCTTGCTTGATGTTTGGTACACTTTTTCTTTGAATCAATTTGGATTCAGTGGCTTTTTCAGTAAGTCAAGCTCAGTGTTGTGTATATCATGCTCCACATAGTTCTTTTGGTTGTGCTACCTCCTTACTGTGCTTGCTTGAGACATAAATTATTTCCAATGGCACCCCTGTTAGGTAGCAGTCTTTGCTTTCTCTTTTGTCAGTGTCTGGGTGGCAGCTACTGAAGGTGTGCCCTGGTTGCAGATACTGGCCTATGTGACTAATGGACAAACTGCACGAGTGACTGAGTAGGGAGAGAGAATTGTCAAGAAGCTTGCTGTGCACGTAATGATACTGTTAGTTTTTACTGCAGTTTTACTCTCTGCTTTTGCTGTGTTTTATTTTCTAACAGAAACTACTACCCATTCGTTTGTTCATTCTCCTCCTTTTTCCTTCTTGCCGGCATGTAAATTACATTGAGATGCAGAGCAGCAGCCTTGTGTGAATACATGGGTGTGTTAAACGCACAGTGATCGTGTTTCGTGGGCCATCACGTTCATCATCCTCTTGTTAGGGATAAATCAATACTGATTGGTATGTATAATTGCAGTAACTGTGTGCGCACTTATTACATAATACAAGGCATTTGGCCTTTTAATAATGTTCTACATTACATTAAGTGTTTTTCTATCTGACTGTTGATTCTAGCCTGAAGAATTAATCATGACTTCAGCACTGCAGGCAGAGACAAAGGCCTGGATCTGAATAATGTACTAAATGAAGGCATAATCAGATTGAGTAAAGCCTGAATGCAAGGAGAACGATGGGAAAAAAAGGGGTTAGAGGACAAGAAGATACACAGCTAATGAGAACATCTGTATAGAGCAGAGACTGTGGGAGAAGAAGCTTAATTTCAAGTGTTTTCTGAAGAATGCAATAATCTGTAGGTTATTTCTTTGTTTCTTTATTAGGGGAACTTCTATGTCTTTTTACAGGTGTTTAGCCTACAACATGTTCTGTGCAAGCACGAAATAAATTGGGGCTGTCTGGAATTAAATGCTACTGTTATATCCAGGTATTAAAATGTTTGGAACATTATTCTTTCCAAGTTTACATTCAATTCAATAACATACTCATTTTATCCCTTTGCTTATACTTTGATTATAAAGTTATTACAGTGTTTAGATTACAAAATTTCCAGTACCTAATTGTTAATAACCTCAGTGTTATCCTTGGGAAATGCTTAGATGAACTACACAAAATCATCGTGAGCATTTCAAGACTCACTCTTTCACTAAAACATGCTGAGAGGATAGCACTTAATCCAAACCATCTAACTCAAACCTCAAGATAACTTCCCAGCATATTGCTTTCGTTCTTGTAAACTTTGTGAGTGGATCATTTCCACTGTCCCTTGTGGAGCTTCCAAGAAGACAGTTTAATAATAAAACCTGCATCTGGAAAAACCTTAACTTTTCTACTGATTTCAGTAGGACTGAACCTTATAGTTACAGTGTGCTCTTGTGCTGAGTTACCATGCTGAACTAGTTTATTGAGGTGCCCTGTATGTGTAAGTTTGGACAGAATCCATGCTGAAGTTTTTAGCTGTGCTTTTCAGAAGGAATCTTAACCAGGTATTTTGAACATTATGGCATGTACAGTCAGCTACAAACCCATTTTTAAGAGGTAGTGTGTACGACTCAGTTCTTCTGTTTGTAGATCAAATCAATAACTAGGTGTATGACCAGCCAAGGCATCTATAAAATTCATGCCCAGGTTGTCTGAAGGAGACAAGGTGCTTGTACTTTTAACAGGATGATTGATCATTAATAGGATGATTGCTTGCAGCTTAAGAGATAAATAGACCAATTTGGGTCAAAAAGAGAACTTAAAATTGCAGACTAAGTGAAAGAGTTTTTGTGTGTTTAAGGTATTCATATATATAAATAGCACACATTCAGTAACGTGTATGGTGAGCTAATAGAGATACAAAAGTGCTAAAGGAACTCTCATATAGAAAAAAAAATGGTTCATACATTCTATTGAACAATTTTCTTGAATGTTATGAAGTATTCATCCTTGTAAAAAGCTTTTAAATTTTATCAGGAAAAGTACACCTCCACACAACAACTTATCCAGATCTAAGATGCTTGAGACACCCAGTGAATCAAGAAATCTACATGAATGCATTTAACAGTTTGTGTAAGAAATTGTCCTAAATGGTTGAAGTTTATGGTACTTTTCACCCTGTACAGAGGCTTATTTAGCACAAATTTGCACTGGGTTTTTGCATAGCAAGTTAAACCAGTGCTGTAGCTATATTTTGCTTTGCTTCTTCTCACTTGAGGTCTCAGGAGATTTCAGAAAGTCTTGGATATTTCACTGATAATTTCACATAACTCTGTAATCTCAGAAGAAGCAGACGTATTTGAATCTTGGCTATTTTTAAAGAATTCAAACTTTCTGGCTGCCACAGTGACTTGCAAAGTTGCCATGTACTCAGGAATTTCTTAAAGGTACCTATTTAATGGATAATTAAAATATAGCTCAGCTACTAAGATTTTTTTTAAAAGGACTTTTATAACTTTATATTATTGAATATAATATATAGCTGTAAGGAAATAGAAAATGCGATGTAGGCAACTTCAGAGTTCTTAACTTGACCTTAATAAACTTAGAGAAGACTTGAAGGAATTAATAATTAAAGACATGGAAAGTGAATAGAAAGACAATGAAACACAATCTATTTTCCTGAGATAGGTCATGTCAGACTGACCTAATATCTTTTTTTAATAAGATGATAGGTTTTCTTGAAAAAGAAAACTGTGCTAGATCTGGTCTCTCTGGATTCTACTGAGGCATTTAGTATGGTGTAGTTTTGAAATTATTGTTTGAGATAGAGGAGGGTTAGTTGAGTGTAAGAGCTATGAATTCAAGCAAAGAAGTGGCACAAAGAAAAGTGGAGACAACTGGAGGTGGATATGTAAAATGAATTAGTTATGAAATGAAGTTAGTTGACTTAGTTTTTTCAAAACTTTTTTTTTCTTTTAAAGTTGATATTGTTATGACGTTATACTAAAAGCAGGCAGTTGAAACTTCCTGATGGGAGGTGGACATTCATTTCCTGTACACTACTTTAGGTGAAGTGATTGTACAGGAACAATTAATTTTACAATTTGTAGTGCTGAAGGGATGGAATTCAACACCACAAAGTGTCAGGCCATACACTGACAGGAATTCACTTTACTGAGTCTAACCTTGGTGTCAAAATTAGCAGTCTAATCTCTTATATAATCAGTGGAAGGAGGCAGATTTTTAATTAGGCTCCAAACTCCCACTTTTCTCTCTTGACTGTTAACAGGCACCTGACTCCGGCATTTGTGCTGAATGCCTGAAATTGGATGGTGCTACAGCCTCAGCTTAGGAAGTAATGCAAGACCCTTTTCCTATGAGCAGGAAGTTCAGCAGCTGAAGACTTTGAAGGAGAAAGGTCTGTGTGAGGGTAAGCGGGTTAGGGTTATTGCAGTCCAAAAACTTGAGTTCATCGTGTAACAGATGTGGAGGAGGTCTACAGGGATGATCAAAGGAATGATGTTACAAGAGGAGTCTGAAACAGCTGTGTTGGAAATGTCAGGAAGGCTAGGAAAATGTGAATTTTAATTGCTCCAGCTGCGTAGCTGGAATAATGAGGAGCTTGGGACTGTGACTAACATCAGCTAGATAACAAGCAGGATGTCTGTAGTCCACCAGAGGACTGATGGCAGTCTATATAACAGCGTCATATTGTAGAAAGGCAGTAACACAGAAACAGAAGTGTCCAAATACGTGCTTTAGAGAAAATTAACTGCATATAGATAAGATATTTTACCAGTGTAGGTATGTGTATTGATAATCCCATAATATCAGACAGTAGTCAGTAAGAGAATTCTTGATTTATTTTTAAGGAGGAACTTGAAGATTTATGAAGGAGAATTATTGCTTGGGTTCTTTGGATTGCTTGTGGTAGCAGTGGTAACGTGAGGACAGTTTGACTAGATGATCTTGTAGGTCCTTTCCAGCCTTGTGATCCTATGATTCTACGATTTAGGCTGTTTGGCAGCTTGTGCTTTTAATCATTAGTATATAGTATGAGACTTGCTGCCTTCTCTGTTGCCCTGTGTTACCTGTAGTGCACAGAGAAACTTGTGTGATAAGTGGACATCAAGAAAATTTGTCTGGACAAAGGTATGTAAGTTTAGCCTGTGGTAAAGATGCCTTTAGAGGCAGATTGTTGGGCAGCAACTCATGACAAGTGGAAGAAGAGCTTGTTCGGAAGTGAAAATTGTGGTTGAAGATCCATGGTGTGTCTGTAGTGACAAATGATGGGTGCAGTACTTACAGTCAGTGACAGCCGCTGCCCCAGATACCTCCTTAGTCTGACAAATGCTTAAATTTGCAACTGTCTGCTGGTGAAAAATTGCTTGTTGCTTAGGTGCTAGTTTGTCTCAGCACCAGGTTCAAAACGGAGCTGAATTCTTTGAGTAAGGGTGAGTAATGCACTTTCTGCTGTTGCAAATACTGAGCTATTCAGCATGAATTGATCAGCAATTAGGACATCGATCCAGTCATTCTTTAGCAGGATTATCCATAAGATAGCAGGAGAGAAATGCCACAGGAAGAAGCCTTTTAAATGTACTTCTGGCAACACTGTTTTGTTCTCCAGTTACTTGTTTATTAATAAGTGCTTAGCTTGTGTTTTTGAGGCTTTTAAGTGCCTAGAAGAATGTCAGGAGAGAATAGTGCAACTTCTCTTTTTTTTTTTTTTTCTGCTTCCTAATTAATGATTACATGCTGGTACTGAGTAGTTATTGTTCTGTGGAAGAAACAATTGTGTGATGATCTCACAGTCCTTACTTGGAGAATTGCCACAGTAAAGAAAAAACACTGTTTATGGACTGAATTGTTAATAGTTTGAAAGGGGAGTGTTCTGCTGGAAACACAGAGCTTGGAATGATGATCCAAGAGGGTAGAAAGCGAAGGGAGAGGACTGAGAAGACAAGCCTTAAAATGTGAGTGCTTTTTTTTGGAGTTCCTGTTTAATTAAAGTTGAGGTCAACTCCCTTAGATTTAGAATCTATGTCCCACTTTGGGTTTAACCTTTTTTCTCTATTCTGGGTTTTATTTAGCTCTGAGACACGTTTTGCTGGCTATTAAACGTTCCACTTCTAATTCGAAGATCTGTCTCAGCCTTTCCCTGAATGCTGACACTCGGAGCATCTCAGAGACTTCCATGGCTGTCACTTATAGGATTTCCAGATAAATGGGAAGAGCATCACTTGAGCATTTCTGGAGGAGGAAAATATGATCATGATTGTTGTATGATCATTACATGATCATGAGAAAGATCCACTTTTAAGTTTCAGGAAAAGGGCTTCTCGCATTCCTGTTGAAGAATGAGAGAGGAATTTGCAGGATACCTTTCTTTCCCATCACAGTTAGGTTGTTTGTAGGTTTTGTTTTTTGTGATAGTAGTGGTGTTTTTATTTGGCGTGGGGTGGGGGAGCTGGCTAACATAAACAGAAACAAAGAGATAAAAACAGAATTCTTGTCAGGTTTGGAATACTTCCCAGGTCTGCCCAAAAACTTCTGTAGATCACTATTAAACATGAGATGTTGGAAGACTAATTTAATCCCATTTCATACTCTATAATGATAGATACTTAAAACTCAGAACTCCCCTCTGAAGGTTCACATTCCTCTATACAGTTCTAAATGGCTGTCTGTTTTCCTTAACATTGGTGCAGTTCAGTGAAGTGTATCCCATCCACAGAGTATACACCTTGCTTAACTTTTTCATGGGGTGTTTAGTCACAGTAAATGCTGTCCAGATGGCCTGTTCACACAGATCCTTAAGCATGGATAAAAACTGAAATATTTTCATGTAATTAAACAGACCCTCTGTGAACTGTATCTCTGCTAAACTTGTATGCACTACGAAAAAGGAGGTTGTTCCAACTTATGTGGCTCTTTGTCATGGTATTTTTAATAGTATGTTTGGATGGACTGTATGTTATTAAAAACTATAAATAAAATGTGCTGAAGTATTTGGGGAGGGTTGAAGGCAAGAATGACAGGCAGAGCATGTCACTTTATTCAAATGTGTTTATGCTAATTCTGCTTTGTAATGAAAATATATCAATTTGGGAATAATTATTTACATTATCGTTTTGTAATTTCCATATTAAAAAAATCTGAAGACAATTTCTGCTGGACTTTAATCCTAGAAATGCTTAGAACACATAGATGAAGGAGTCTGAATGGTATATTGTGGCTCAGGCCTTGGTGAGACCATGGTTGTCCTTGAAAGAATTTTAGAAATACATTGTCTGAAATTATATTTCAGTGTTGACTTTTTTGCCCATGCTAACATAAGCAACAAAGACAAAGATTTAAAAAGCACTACTCAGCTGTTACCAACAAGCTACGTTGAGTGGAATATTTGAAGACTGATCTCAAGTTTCTGTGAGGAAGCGTTTTCGCTGTGATTGTACATGTTCACTTTGGTGGCTGACTTTCCTTTAGTCAGATGTGCTGTGATTTTGATAAGGTGATTTTTGGAGCTGTCCCAGGCAGTTGATTAATATTTTCAAACATTCAAAGTAGAGATGTAGAGAGCACCGGTTGTGTGGAGTAAAGTCCAGCTGTGTAAACCTGTAAGTTTGGTAGACTGTCTTGTAAACACCTCTTATAATGGGGTTTTCACCACTTCACTTGGGGGCTTCATCCAGGAATGAAGAGACTTCTACCTCGAGATGTGGAAATCCTTCCTTACAGAAGTAAAATAACTTCTTTAGGAAAGAAAAAGAGAGTGGTAAAAACAAAGTTGAAATTATGGCAAATTAATGATTCAGATATCATAGAATTGCTCAGGTTGGAAAAGACCTTCAAGGTCATCAAGTCCAATCACAAGCTGACCATACTACCCTCACTCTAACAACCCTCCACTAAGTCATGTCCCTGAGCACCACGTCCAAAAAGATTTTAAACACATCCAGGGATGGTGACTCAACCACCTCCCTGGGGAGCCTATTCCAGTGCTTAACAGCCCTTTCTGTAAAGAAGTGTTTCCTGATATCCAACCTAAACTTACCCTGGTGCAACTTGAGGCCCTTTCCCCTCATCCTGTCACCAATGAGAAGAGACCATGGTAATAACCATGGTATCACGGTAATAATCTCTTTGTAATAGGAATACAGAGAAGATAGTAAATAGTCAGACTTCATTCAGTTAGGCCTGGTACCGTATTCTGCAGCAATGGCCAATTCTTTATGTAATGTTACCCACTGTGAGAAGAATACTTTCTGATAATGTATCTGTATAAATAGTTTAGTTTGGATCTGACTGTAATTTCTTGGATGTTTTTTGAGCATTTTAGTAGGAGATGTTACTGTTTTAACATCCCAGTCTATGATGGTTTAAGTTTGACAAAGAATTGCAGTGATGAGCAATATGAGTGATTTTGATATTTTCATTGTTAGTGAAAAAATGTTAGAACTGCTTTTCTTTGTTACCACTTGATATTTTATAGGCTTTAGAAATAAGAACTAAGGAAAAGAGAAATTAGAATTTAGGGGTAGGAAGTAATGCAAAGTACTCTGTATCAACTGATACGCCCTCAAACAAATGAGTTCTTTGCTAGTTCAAGGGTGAATTCTTTAGTGGTAAGCTGAAAATGACTGTTAAAGAGAAATTCTAAAGCAATACCTTCTATAAACATTTCAGATGAGAGGTAGCATTTCATTTCTGAATTGCAAATTTTAATGTTTTAGAGTTTATTTCTGTAGTACTTCTCTATGAATCAACTTCAAAATCCATATGCTATAATGGGAAGAAAACCCTTTTCTATTTTGGATTCATAAGTATGACAAGTCTTTGTTTTGCATGGTGCCTGTTGGTGCACTTGTCCCAAGGCAGACAATGGGTTATATGTGTTAACCCATTTCTGTTGGTGGGTTGTCCTAAAGTCAAATAGCATTGCCATGCCATCTTTTATTTCTTTTAGAAGAAAAATAGGAGTAGAGAGGTTCTTAGATAGTATTTGATGTCAAAGAGGAAGGAGAAATGGAAGGAAAAACTTTTTGAGGACTGATTTTTCAAGAAGGCACCACCGGTAGCAGTGGTTATGGAACCTGATGGACAAAACAGCCACCCACAGTTTAAGGTTGAGTGGGCTCATGTGGCTGTATTTTACCATGAAAGTTTGTTGGTATTTTTTATGCTTTATGGAAAAATGTGCATGGTGGTACTCCAGATTATCTACAATTGAGAGCTTGAATATCTTGTTGTAAAGGGAAAAGACAGCACAGATAAAACATGACTTTTCTTCAAGTCTTACAATCTTAAAGCAGCTTGCAACTTTCCCAGCTGGTCTTGTTTAAAAACTACTTTTTCTTCTCCAGAAGCACCAGTAAGTACCAGTAAGTACTTGGCATTCATAACAAGACATCTTTT